ACAAGTTCCATCATGCCTCTGCAAGTCAGTAACTTCCCATCTTTGCAATGCCTCATGGGAAATGTAGTTCCACAACAGCTGGAGAGCCACAGGTTAGCCACCCCTGCACCTAGTGCAAGGGCCACATAATATGGCCTTGTGTGTTGGATACATGTGATCTAGGATGTTTCTATGCATTTTTTTTTTTTAAAAAGTGTTGGATCATTAGTTGAAGATGATTTCTTTTAAAAGGTATACCTACCTGTCTTTGCTGTCTTTTAAAAAAAAAGGTAAAAATAAAAAGGTTTTATACAAAGTAGCTGGTTACTTTTGTTGTTTACAGATATATTTGTCTTCATTATTTAGGTAATTTGCTTGCATCTATTTTATTATTACTTCTCCCTGGTACCCCACTGAAAGAACCTTTATACATGGGGAATAAAAAGTGTTTCTATTGTGTGGCTTGGTTTATCTTTGTGGTTTGGGGGTGTATTCAGTGTCTTGTGTCTGTATAATGAATGTGCCCCACCAGAATGTTGACACTTACCAGATATCCCCCTATCGGGATAGCAGCCACTGCAATAGCTGTCAGCACAATGAGCGCGATGCCATAGTTAGGGATGAATCCAGATGTGTCACTTCCACCATTTACTACTGGATGGGAAAAAAATAGAAAAAAAAAAGTTGTGTAAAGATTTGAACAAATAGACATATCGGTCTTAAAGTGAAGCTGCCCCGGTCCAACACCGGCTCTGGATTTACTCTCAGGCACAGCAGGCAAATGACTATTGGCAGTAGAGGCAAGAGGGGTGGGGGTGGTCCTGTATAGATAATGGGAATCCTAATATGGCAATTTCCAGTAGCCATCTCCTATATGTTATTCTCAGTCAGGTTAAGACCAAGAAAACAAGACAATGTTCTGTGTTATAGGGGGATCCTAGTAGAGGGGTGTTATTTTACTTATTTCAGGTACTTCCAGGGACGGACTGACAACTCATGGGGCCCCCGGGCAATAGGGGACCATGGGGCCCGTGTCCTTGCCCAAACTCAAAAAAGCCTATGAAAAAGGTACCAGGGGCATCTCATGGGGCCCCCTACCAGGGGCGGACTGACAACTCATGGGGTCCCCAGGCAATAGGGGATCATGGGGCCCCTGTATCCTTGCCCAAACTCAAAAAAGCCTATGAAAAAAGGTACCAGGGGCATCTCATGGGGCCCCCTACTGACCCCGGGCCCTCGGGCAATGCCCAAGTTTCCAAATGGTCAGTCCGCCCCTGCCCCCTACTGACCCCGGGCCCTCGGGCAGTGCCCAAGTTTCCAAATGGTCAGTCCGCCCCTGGCCTGTACACATCCATACCTTTCTGAGACCAAGTTCTATAGTCCTATATGTTATTCTCAGTCAGGTTAAGACCAAGAAAACAAGACAATGTTCTGTGTTATAGGGGGATCCTAGTAGAGGGGTGTTATTTTACTTATTTCAGGTACTTCCAGGGACGGACTGACAACTCATGGGGCCCCCGGGCAATAGGGGACTATGGGGCCCCTGTGTCCTTACCCAAACTCAAAAAAGCCTATGAAAAAGGTACCAGGGGCATCTCATGGGGCGCCCTACTGACCCTGGGCCCTCGGGCAGTACCCAAGTTTCCAAATGGTCAGTCCGCCCCTGGGTACTCCAATAATGCAATCAATTTATGCAGCGCTTTACATATATATTGTACATTCACATCAGTCCCTGACCCTCAAAGGGCGTACAATCTAAGGTCCCAAACTCACATTCATACATACACATACTAGGGACAATTTAGACAGGAGCCAATTCACCTACCAGCATGTCTTTGGAGTGTGGGAGGAAACTGGAGTACCCGGAGGAAACCCACGCAGGCACAGGGAGAACATGCAAAGGCCAGGCAGGTGGTGCCATGGTTGGGATTCAAACCAACAACCCCTAGTACTGCCAGGCGGAAGTGTAACCATTAAGCCACAGTGCTGCCCACGTTTGGGTGATATGGTGGTGTTTGTGATGATATGGCAATATTTGGAATGATATGCTGAAGTTTAGGAAGATATTGTGGAATTTGGGATGATATGGTAAACTTCTGTCTGTCTGATATGGGGAAATTTGGGAAGATATGCTAACGTTTGGGGTCACATGGTGGAGTTTAGAGTAATATCGTGGAGTTTTGGATGATTTGGTGGCATTTGACTGAAACTATGAAGTTTAAGATGATACAATGAAGTCTGAGATGATTTGGTGAAGTTTGGGATGTTATAGCGGAATTGTAGATAATTTGGTTAGGGTGATATGATGGTGTCGGGGGTGATATTGGAATGTTTGAAATGATTGTGACAGACTCAACTGGGACAGTGCTCATGGTAAGTAGGCAAGAGGCCAGTCTGCAATCCCTTCCAAAATCCCCTGTCCCAGTTGGGTTGTCACAATGATAAATAAATAATAAATAATAAACATACTAGGGACAATTTAGACAGGAGCCAATTAACCTGCCAGCATGTCTTTGGAGTGTGGGAGGAAACCAGAGTACCCACACAGGCACAGGGAGAACATGCAAACCCCAGGCAGATAGTGCTGTGGTTGGGATTTGAGCTAACGACCCCGAGTACTGCCAGGAGGCAGTGCAATATCCTTTAGCCACCGTGCTGCCTTACTTAGGGTGCCAATAGTCTGGTGTCTGCAGGAGCCAATGATGGAAATCCGGCTGTGGAATGTTCTGAAGTACGAGAGCCTTGTGGTGCCCGGAGGTCCCTGTGATAGTGTCTAGATTAAGACCTCTGTTCCTGTGGAGTTCTCTGGATTTCGAGGTCTGAGGGACATCCGTTTCAGATTGGATGCCTTTGATAGGTGGATGGGTGAGCTCTCTGCCCTCTGCACCCACTCACTCAATTGTACAAAACAGACAATCTAGAGTTGCATACGGCTGTAGGTAACAAGGAGTGCAGCATGTAGTCAATCATATGTAACAATACAGCTGCGGAGCAGTAAGGAATACAGTACATTACAAGGAGCGGAGCTGTCAGGAGTATGTAATATACAGCATAGCAATCGGTGAAGAGGTCAGGAGTATGTAATGTACAGTACAGCACACAAAGTGTAGCAGTCAGGAGTATGTAATATACAGCATAGCAATCGGTGAAGAGGTCAGGAGTATGTAATGTACAATACAGCACAGCAAGAGTGCAGCAGTCAGGAGTATGTAATATACAGCATAGCAATCGCGTGAAGAGGTCAGGAGTATGTAATGTACAATACAGCACACAAAGTGCAGCAGTCAGGAGTATGTAATATACAGCATAGTTATCGAGTGAAGAGGTCAGGAGTATGTAATGTACAATAGAGCACCAAAGTGCAGAGGTCTGGAGCATGTAATGTACAGTGCAGAACACAGATCGGTGAAGAGGTCTGGAGTAAATGTACAGCACAGAGTACAATGAAGAGGTCAGGAGTATGTAATGTACAGACAGCACACAGAGTGGAGCAGTCATCAGTGTGTAATATGGGTTATAGAGATCAGTGAAGAGGTCTGGAGCATGTAATGTACAGCACAGAGTACACAGAATGGTCAGGAGCATGTAATGTACAGTACAGAGTACAGTGAAGAGGTCAGGAGTATGTAATGTACAGTACAGCACACAGAGTGGAGCAGTCAACAGTGTGTAATGTGGGTTATAGAGATAAGTGAAGAGGTCTGGAGTATGTAATGTACAGCACAGAGTACAATGAAGAGGTCAGGAGTATGTAATGTACAGTACAGAGCAAGAGTGGTCAGGAGTATGTAATGTACAGTACAGCACACAGAGTGGAGCAGTCAACAGTGTGTAATGTGGGTTATAGAGATCAGTGAAGAGGTCTGGAGTATGTAATGTACAGCACAGAATACAATGAAGAGGTCAGGAGTATGCAATTCACAGTATTGTGTACAGTGAAGAGGTCAGGAGTATGTAATGTACAGTACAGCACACACAGTGCAGCAGTCAGGAGTATGTAATATACAGCATAGCGATCGGTGAAGAGGTCTGGAGTATGTAATGTACAGTGCAGAGCAAGAGAGTGGTCAGGAGTATGTAATGTACAGAATCACATACAGTGAAGAGCTCAGGAGTATGTAATGTACAGCAGCACAGCACACAGATTGGAGCAGTCATCAGTGTGTCACACATTGCGTCCACTCGTAGTGTACTGACTATGCTGCCAGCTTTTCTACTATCTGGCCTTTATTGATGCAAAGTTTTTGTTAGAGAAGATTTCTAGATATGGATATTCTTACTTGTTAGTACTGGTCCAGCTTGGAACAATGTTACTATGTATATATATATACCTGTGGGATCTCCCTAGAAGCTGGAAATCACCGAAGTAAACACTGCTACTACCCTGCTACTACAGTGATTTCTACTAGCTTGCGGGTCCCATGCTGAGTGGCTGCCCTGCTGCATAGTGAACACAAGAGGTTGACTACTGGGCATGAGCTCCAGTCAGAGAAGGCTTTGCATTTCAGGGAAATCCCAAATTTGAGTTGAGCTTTAACTTACTGACCCTTGCTCTGAGCCATAATATAAAACAATGCTGACTACAAATTCTATCACCCTTCATGCTGTAATTGAAGGTGGGGGACAAACGATATATATACCTTGTGCAGCAACAGCACTGATTCCAGATGTTGTACTGGCTACAGTTGAAGTGGCTCCTGTAGTTCCTCTAGGTACAGATGTTGTGTGTGGTACAGGTGTTTTATTGGTTCCAGGTATTGTGCTGGCTCTTGGAGATGTATTGGTTCCAGGTGTTGTACTGGTTCCAGGTGTTGTACTGGCTCTTGGAGTTGTACTGGTTCCAGGTGTTGTACTGGTTCTTGGAGTTGTACTGGCTCTTGGAGGTTCCAGGTGTTGTACTGGTTCAGGTGTTGTACTGGCTCTTGGAGATGTACTGGTTCCAGGTGTTGTGCTGGCTCTTGGAGTTGTACTGGTTCCAGGTGTTGTGCTGGCTTCTTGGTGTTGTACTGGCTCTTGGAGTTGTACTGGTTCCAGGTGTTGTACTGGTTCCAGGTGTTGTACTGGCTCTTGGAGTTGTACTGGATCCAGGTGTTGTGCTGGTTCCAGGTGTTGTACTGGCTCTTGGAGTTGTACTGGTTCCAGGTGTTGTACTGGCTCTTTGATTTGTACTGGCTCTTGGCGTTGTACTGGATCCAGGTATTGTGCTGGCTCTTGGAGTTGTACTGGTTCCAGGTGTTGTGCTGGCTCTTGGAGTTGTACTGGTTCCAGGTGTTCCAGGTGTTGTACTGGCTCTTGGAGATGTACTGGTTCCAGGTGTTGTGCTGTCTCTTGGAGTTGTACTGGATCTAGGTGTTGTGCTGGCTCTTGGAGTTGTACTGGTTCCAGGTGTTGTGCTGGCTTTTGGAGTTGTACTGGATTCAGGTGTTGTACTGGCTCTTGGAGTTGTACTGGTTCCAGGTGTTGTGCTGGCTCTTGGAGTTGTACTGGATCCAGGTGTTGTGCTGGCTCTTGGAGTTGTACTGATCAGGTGTTGTGCTGGCTCTTGGAGTTGTACTGCTTCCAGGTGTTGTACTAGTTCCTGGAGTTGTACTGGGTCCAGCACTAGTGCTTAATTCTGGCATTTTGCTGCTTCCTGGATTTGTTCTAGTTGCAGATGTGCTTCCTCCTGGTGGTGTACTGCCCACTGATGTTATGTTAGCTCCAGGTGTTGTATTGGTTACTGGTGCTATACTAGTTCCTGGAGTTGTACTGGATCCAGGTATTATACTGAATCCTGGAGTTGTACTGGATCCAGGTGTTGTATTGGTTCCTGGAGTTCTGCTGGATACAGGTGTTGTACTGGCTCCTGAAGCTGTACTGATCCCAAATTTTGTACTGGCTACTGGAGTTGTAATGGTTCCGGGTATTGAACTGGCTCCTGGATTTGTACTGGATACAGCTGTAGGACTCAATCCTGGTGTTGTACGAACTCCTGGAGTTGTTCTAGGTGCAGATATTGTGCTACTTGTGTTTTATATTGCCCACTGGAGTTGTACTGGATCCAGGTTTTGTACTGGCTCTTGGAGTTGTACTTAATTCAGGTGTTGTACTGGCTGTAGGAGTTGAACTGGATCCATGTGTTGTACTGCCACCTGGAGTTGTATTGGATCTGGGTGTTGAATTGGCTCCTGGAATTGTACTGGATCCAGGTGATGCACTGGCTCCTGGAGTTGAACTGGATTCAGCTGTAGTACTTGATATTGGTGTTGTACTGCCCCCTGGAGTTTTTCCAGGTGCAGATGTTGTGCTTCCTCCTGGTGATGTACTGCTTACTGGAGTTGTACTGAACAAAGATGTTGTACTGGCTCCTGGAGTTGTACTGGGTCCAGGTGCTGTACTGGCTCCAGGAGGTGTACTGGGACCAAGTGTTGTACTGCCTCCTGGCAATGTGCTGGATCCTAGAGTTGCACTGGATCCAAGTGCTGTACTGGTTCCTGGAGTCGTACTAAATTCAAGTGTTGTTCTGGTCCCTGGTGCTGTACTGGATCCAGATGTTGTACTGGTTCTGGTGTTTTGATTCCTGCAGTTATACTGGTTCCCAGGTGTACTGGCTTCTGGAGTGTGTGTTGGTCCAAGTGTTGTACTGGCACCAGAGATGTGTACTGGTCCAAGTGTGTACTGCCTTCAGGAGTTGTACCAGGTCCCAGGTGTTGTACTGGCTTCCTGGAGTTGTACTGGATCCAGGTGTTGTACTGGCTTCTACTGGAGCTGTACTTGGATTCACGTGTTGTACTGGATCCAGGTGTTCTACTGGCTTCTATAGTGCTGTACTGGATTCAGGTGTTGTACTGGATTCAGGTGTTGTACTGGATTCTAGAGGTGTACTTGATTCAGGTGTTGTACTGGATTCAGGTGTTGTACTGGATTCTATAGCTGTACTTGATTCAGGTGTTGTACTGGATCCAGGTGCTGTACTGGTTTCTATAGCTGTAATTGATTCAGGTGTTGTACTGGATCCAGATGTTGTGTACTGGCTTCTTAGCTGTACTTGATCCAGGTGTTTTACTGGATCCAGGTGTTGTACTGGCTTCTATAGCTGTACTTGATCCACGTGTTGTACTGGATCCATGTGTTGGACTGGCTTCCATAGCTGTACTTGATTCAGGTGTTGTACTGGATCCAGGTGTTGTACTGGCTTCTATAGCTGTACTTGATCCAGTGTTGTACTGGATCCAGGTGTTGTACTGGCTTCTATAGCTGTACTGGATTCAGGTGTTGTACTGGATCCAGGTGCTGTACTGGATCCAGGTGTTGTACTGGCTTCCATAACTGTACTTGATTCAGGTGTTGTACTGGATCCAGAGTTGTACTGGATCCAGGTGTTGTACTGGCTTCCATAACTGTACTTGATTCAGGTGTTGTACTGGCTTCCATAGCTGTACTTGATTCAGGTGTTGTACTGGATCCAGATGTTGTACTGGCTTCAATAGCTGTACTTGATCCATGTGTTGTACTGGATTCCAGATGTTGTACTGGATTCCATAGCTGTACTTGATCCAGTGTTGTACTGGATCCAGGTGTTGTACTGGATTCTATAGCTGTACTTGATTCAGGTGTTGTACTGGATCTAGGTGTTGTTCTGGGATCCAGGTGTTGTACTGGATCCAGGTGCTGTACTGGATTCTATAGCTGTACTTGATTCAGGTGTTGTACTGGATCCAGGTGTTGTACTGGATCCAGGTGTTGTACTGGATCCAGGTGCTGTACTGGCTTCTATAGTTGTACTGGATCCAGGTGCTTGTACTGGCTTCTATAGCTGTACTTGATCCAGGTGTTGTACTGGATTCTATCGCTGTACTGGATCCAGGTGTTGTACTGGATTCTATTGTTGTACTGGATCCAGGTGTTGTACTGGATTCTATTGTTGTACTGGATCCAGGTGTTGTACTGGCTTCTATAGCTGTATTTGATTCAGTGTTGTACTGGATTCAGGTTTGTACTGGATCCAGGTGTTGTACTGGATTCTACTGCTGTACTGGATCCAGGTGTTGTACTGGATTCTATAGCTGTACTTGATTCAGGTGTTGTACTGGATCCAGGTATTGTACTGGATTCTATTGCTGTACTGGATCCAGGTGTTGTACTGGATTCTATAGCTGTACTTGATTCAGGTGTTGTACTGGATCCAGGTTTGTACTGGATTCTATTGCTGTACTGGATTCAGGTGTTGTACTGGATCCAGGTGTTGTACTGGATTCTATCGCTGTACTGGATCCAGGTGTTGTACTGGATTCTATCACTGTACTGGATCCAGGTGTTGTACCGGCTTCTATAGCTGTTGTATCCGCTGGTGTTCTTGAAGCTAAAGTTGTTGATGGCTCTGCAACAAAATGTAAGGAACATTTTCAGTTCTAAGTTTCCGTTGCCAATCCCATTATGTCCCTTTATTGTTACTCTACATTTAGCAGAATGCTTGGTGTTTGATTGCCCTAATAACATCCTACCTAACATCATGCTTTTTCTAGGGTATCAAGCAGTGTCTTTTGCATGAATGCATTGTGTAACCTTTTCTTCTTTAAAAGGTAGAAATGATTTCTGTAGGAATGTTTTTAGGAATTGCAGTTAAAAAATGAGAAGATTAAGAAAATTACCCCAAGAGATAGAAAAGCTTATCATAGTGTAACATGTTGTTCTTTGTTTAAATAATCATACTATATATAAAATAAACTATTGCAGATAATTCTTGAAAATAAGGTGAATAATCTTGTGGCAGTGCAGGTTGAGCATCTGAAGCCTATTTGGGTGGATTGAAAAATACACTATATTGCCAAAAGTATTGGGCCGTCTGCCTTTACACGCACGTGAACTGTAATGGCCCCCAGTCTTAGTCTGTGGGGGTTCAGGATTGAGTTGGCCGCCTTTCCACGCACATGACCTTTAATGGCCTCCCAGTCTTAGTCCGTAGGGTTCAATATTGAGTTGGCCCCGCCCTTTCCACGCACATGACCTTTAATGGCCCCCCAGTCTTAGTCCGTAGGGTTCAATATTGAGTTGGCCCCGCCCTTTGCAGCTAGAACAGCTTCAACGTTTCTGGGAAGGCCGTCCACAAGGTTTAGGAGGGTGTCTATGGGAAGGTTGGACCATTCTTCCAGAAGCACATTTGTCAGGTCAGGCACTGATGTCGGGGGAGGAGGCCTGGCTCGCATTCTCCGCTCTAATTCATCCCAAAGGTGTTCTATGGGGTTGAGGTCAGGACTCTATGCAGGACAGTCAAGTTCCTCCACCCCAAAATGGCTCCTCCATGTCTTATAGACCTTGCTTTGTGCACTGGTGTGCAGTCATGTTGGAACAGGAAGGGGCCATCCCCAAACTCCTCCCACAAAGTTGGGAGCATGAGATTGTTTAAAATATCTTGGTATGCTGATGCCTTAAGAGTTCCCTTCACTGGAACTAGGGGGCCAAGCCCAACCCCTAAATAACAACCCCACCATAATCCCCCCTCCACCAAACTTTATACTTGGCACAATACAGTCAGACAAGTACGGCTCTCCTGGCAACCGCCAAACCCAGACATGTCCACCGGATTGCCAGACAGAGAAGTGTGATTGATCACTCCAGGGAACACGTCTCCACTGCTCTAGAGTCCAGTGGCGGCGAGCTTTACACTACGGCATCCACAGGAGCCTGTTCCCACCACCACAGTTGAAAATAATGTAAAAGGCTAAAAAAAACTGTTGCAGCCAATAGATTTGGCAGTTTGACTTGTTCTGGTTGTTCCCCATCTTCCCAGTACAAATCCACTTGATGATGAAATCCCTCCGCCCAGTACAAATCTTTGCACTCCCCCCCCATCACCCCTTGCAGCTCAAATTCTCTCTCTCCTCATATGCCCCCAGCACAAATCCCCCTTCCCAAATATAAAAATGTCCCCCCTCCTAACCGAAAATCCTCCACCCCTCAAATTTCCCATCCAAGCACAAATCCTCACCCCCCACTCCCAATCCCCCTTCCAGTACATATTCTCCACTTGCAAGCCCCCATCTTAGTACATACCCCTCCCCCCCTTCAAATTTCCCCTCCTGGCACAAATATCCCCCCCCCCCAAGAATATTTCCCCTCTACTGTTTTACTTTTATAGCACAAATCCCTCCTCCCAGCACAAATCCTCTTCCCACATCCCCCCTTCCTACACAAATCCCCCCCCCCAAATCCTAGCACACCTTCCTAGATTTGCCCCCCAAATTCCCCTTCTCAACACAAATTCCCTCCCTTCATCTTCTTGTGGTGCCCCTGCCTTACATTAAGCCACAGTGCCCAGGGCAGCCGTCCCTCCTGCCCACCCCTTGTCCTGGCCCTGGGGGTGACCCCTGCTACTATTCGATAAACAAGAAAAGCTGCTGCATCCCGGAGTGCAGCGATTCATTTCCCATTCTGATCAATTTGCCGGAGTGCAGCCAGCCAGACCGGCACCAGATTTAGCAGAGGAGCCTGTGATAGGTGAACGTCTGGTGATGCCCCGTATTCAGTATGGTGAGAGTTCCTAGTCTTCTGCTACTCGTGTCATTTATTCCTTTATGGCTTCACCTACCTGGAGTAGTTGTGTTTTCAAAAAGAAGATTGATGCCACCCAGGTTACCATTAGCTCGCCCATTCCTATCAAAAACTTGCTGTACTAGTGCGTCACTATGATTGTTTGTTGGGAATTCTGCTGAAGCGTTGGCGATGGTGGAACCTCGTCTGTAGAGAAAACAGAAATATCTCAACTTTTGTTTCCTTTTTCCCGGTCAGATCCGCCACACACACAGACATAGTCTTCCTTCTATAAACCCAGTACATGCAATGGGGTTGATTGTGCACTTTGCAAAGTGTAGTTGCTCCGGAGCTTAGTAAATGAGCAGAAGCTCTGCTGACTTCCATCGTCCAATCACGTCTAAGCAAAAGTGTTTTTTTTTTTTCAATTCTCCTTGCACTTGATTGTGTATTCCTTGCAAAGTGAATATTTATCTCATTTACAAAGCTCTGGAGCAATTGCACTTGAAGAGTGCAACTTCACCTTGTATGGTACTCAGTCTATTTGTATTTAGTAAATCAACCCCAATGTGTGAATAGACAGTGCACAGACCCACATGGAAGAAATATATATTTAAAAAATATTCTTCCCTAATATATTGACATATATTTGAAATACTACAATTTTGGCCATATTCAATATATTTCAAAATATTTTTCAGTATGGTATATTAAATGTATCTTTAAAGACATACAGTATATTTGAAAATTTATTTTTAAAAATATTTTTCATATATTTTGTAGTAAAAATGCATTTCATCATACAGTATATATATATATAATAATACGGCCAAAATGTTAGTATTTCAAATATATGTCAATATATTGGGAAAGAATATTTTTAAAATATATTTTTTTCCAGTGGGTTAGTCCCCTTAGGCTTCATTCACACGGCCGCAAAAATGCATACACAAGTGATTTTTAATTACAGATCTGAACACAGCTACATTGTTTTCAATGGAGCCATTCACAAAAGATGTGTAAATGTGAACAGCTGTAAGATCCAGAACACAGAATGCAAAAATCTAAGAACATGTCATTTAAACCTCCATTGAACCATTGTACTGCAGACAGGCGGCTCCTACGGGAACAGCAGTGTACCCAACGGGAACAAGGGGGAACGCAGCACTGAATGTATGTAATGGAATAGGAAGCTGGGGTGTGCTGGAGGGTCTATTAATGCTGGCTGCTGGGGGATCTATTGTTGCTGATGGGAATCTATTGTTGCATGGGTTTCTATTTGTTGCTGGGTAGGTCTAATGTTGCTGGGAAGGATGGATCTAATGTTGAGGGAGAGGTCTATTGTTGCTGGCTGCTGGGAGATCTGTTGTTGCTGCTGGGGGTCTATTGTTGCTGGAGTGGTATTTTGTTGCTGTTGCTGGGGGAGTCTACTGTTGTATGCGGGGGGGGGATGTCTATTGTTGTTGGGGTGAGGTCTATAATTGCTGGGGTGGGCTCAATTGTTGCTCACTGCAGGGGATCTATTTTACTGTCTTTCTTGTTATCATTAACAAATTCCATACAAATTACTTAGTAGCACAAAATGTTGCTTGGTTCTGTATTCTCTAAAAGGGTCGGTACTGGTGGGTAGGGGGTGGAACCAAGGGATGGTGCTCAGAGGTGGGTAGGTGATGGAACCAAGGGATTGTGCTCAGAGGTGTGGTAGGGGGTGGAACCAAGAGATGGTGCTCAGAGGTGGGAAGGGGATGGAACCAAGGGTCAGTGCTCAGAGGTGGGTAGGAGATGGAACCAAGGGACAGTGCTCAGAGATGGGCAGGGGATTGAACCAAGAGACGGTTCTCAGAGGAGGGTAGGTGATGGAACCAAGGGACGGTGCTAAAAGGTAGGTAGGGAGTGGAATCAAGGGACATGCTCAGAGGTGGGTAGGGGGTGGAACCAAGGGACGGTGCTCAGAGGCGGGTACGAGATGAAACCAAGGGATGGTGTGCAGAGGTGGGTAGGAGATGGAACCAAGGGTCAGTGCTCAAAGGTGGGTAGGGGATGGAACCAGGGGACAATGCTCAGAGATGGGTAGGGGATGGAACCAAGAGATGGTTCTCAGAGTTTGGTAGGGGATGGAACCAAGAGACGGTGCTTAGAGGTGAGTAGAGGTTTGAACAAAGGAACGGTGCTCACAGGTAGATAATGGGTGGAACCAAGGGATGGTGCTCAGAGGTAGGTAGGGGATGGAACCAAGGAATGGTGCTCAAAGGTGGGTAGAAGATGGAACCAAGGGATGGTGCTCAGAGGTGGGTAGGAGATGGAACCAAGAGACGGTGCTCAGAGGTGGGTAGGGGATGGGACCAAGGGACGGTGCTCTGAGATGGGTAGGGGATGGAACCAAGGGTCAGTGCTCAGAGGTGGGTTATGGATGGAACCAAGGGATGGTGCTCTGAGGAGGGTAGGACATGGAACCAAGGGTCAGTGCTCAGAGGTGGGTAGGGGATGGAACCAAGGGACAATGCTCAGAGATGGGTACGGGATGAAACCAAGACATGGTTCTCAGAGTTGGGTAGGGGATGGAACCAAGG